TAGGAAACAAAACTTCAAGACCACGGCCACACAGCCCGGAAGACCCACACCAGCCAATCCAGAGAGATTTTAGGCATGTTTTGTTTTCTGCTTTTTCATTTGGGCTGTTATGTGAGAACATCAAGGCCTGGAAGAAAAAAAGACCTCCTGATATTTGTTGCGTACGTAGGTGTGTGTCTGTATATACACATATGAGAAATTTCATATTTATATGGAATTCCCCTTTAAAAATAAATAATTTAAAACGCTGTATGATTTTGACATGACACTTTGTCAGATGCTGGTAAGGTCAGCAAAGTAGTAAATGTTTTCCTACTACATTCTAAAATAAGCATCCCACTGACTCAACGTGGTAGTTGAGAAGTGGCGAGATGCTCATAGAAGAGACTAGCCATAAGAGAAATGGGCACGTGTTCTTGGCTCTTTCTGGATCTTTGGTTCTCCTCTGCAATTGCAACAGAAATGCCGTGCGGGTCGGCTGCACAATTTGGAGTGTTCAGAACTGACCTCTGGGTAGCCGCCTACGTCATGAACGTCAATTCCAAGAAAGTGTCCCAGCCCGTGGGGCATAAATATTGCACCCAGATGGACCTTCACCATGTCATCAACATTGCCCTGAAGAATGCCAATTTTTGTAAGCTCTTCCAGATGGACTCGGTCTGCCAGACGGTGCATATCAGGCCAGGCCACCCCTTTGGGGGAAAAAAAAGTCCTATTATTTAGATGTTCTTAAAAATAGACATTTTCTTACCATGCATGACTGTTTTCTGAGTCCCCCCGAGAGAATTCTCCACCTCAGAATGGAGTGTCCGTCTGGAGATTGCAGGCAGGGCCCTCCCATCTTGAATGCCCTGTCCTGGGGAAGGAGTCATCCTACATCACAGATGCTTGCCTTTCAAACTCATAGTACTGAAAAGCATGGAGGTTGGCTTTGCAAACATGCTGTCCTGGGCTGGTTAAAAGCCCTAGCATATGCATTCATACAACATGCCAAGGTTGGTTAATTTTAATCTTGGTTAAGGTTTCTTGTGGCTTAGAATGCTGTATGAACCAGCCCATTCAATTAGTTTATGGTTCAGAATGTTCTATGAGTGCAGAAAATGAATCAGTTTGGGAATCAATTGCGTTGTGCAAGCCTAGTCTGAAAGAAATATGCAACCTTTGTACAACAGGAAAGAAGAAATAGGAGAAAATTCCAGCTCCCTCTTTATATACAGTACAGGCAGAAACTGTAAATAACAGAGTGCTGCTTCCAGGAAATAGTTGGGTCAAATGCCCTCTTGGTGACTCAGGAGGAAAAAGAATTAATAGGAAAAAATCATGTTCTCTTTGTCTCTTTGAGGGCACTCTTCATCTTAGAATATGACATAGTATGTCATATTCAGGTAGGGGCAGGGTGCCAACACTGGCAGACTATATTGCCACTACTTCCTGGAAGACACAGCCTGCCAAACCTGGCATGTATTTGTCTACCTTACAAAGTTTTGTGAATGTGCATTCTGATGTCCACATGGCAGCCTTACAAGGCTCTTGCGCTGGGGAGTTTCCTTACATCTCTAAACAAATGTTCTTCAGGGTAGGTTTCCCAAGTCTGCCTAAGCTGGGTTGGGCCAAAAGAAGCCTTGGCCATCTTTGTCTGCCTTCTTTTATGCTACCTTGAAGAGATCCATCTTCAAATCCCTAAATTCCAAGGACCTGTCTAAATAAAACCTGAGTTCCTGACAATGCAACCCTTGGTGAGGAGGATGAAACCAAAATGAAGGCAAAGTAGTATTGTGCTTTGTGGGGGGAAAAGGAGTTGGATTAAAGCTCCACCTGATCCTTGCTTGCAATAGATGACCTGGGTTCACCATTCAGATGCTCGCTTTGTTGATGTTCTGGCTGCTAGGAGGACAACTAAAGGGTAAGCACATGCCAGGCATCTACAGGATCATTGGAGGGCTGATGAGTATAATGAAGACTCTGTCTAGATTCCAGGTTTCAGACCTAGAAATGGCAGGCAGGTGAAACATCCACCACCCCTTTAAAAAAAATGCCTTGAAAGAAAGAGTAGACAGAAAAGCTTTGCTTTTACAGGGCAGTACACTGCTCACTGGCAAAATCTGACATTTAATAGGGTTAGTATTTAGCCCCCATGTAAACCCTCTTGAAAAAAAAGCTGCAAAACAAGAGATCATGATTTGCTCATATCTTTGCATCAATTTAGGACAATATTTCAGGTTGAGATTTTGTCAGTAGGAGCTTTCTTAGAGTAAAGCAAACTCTGAAGGACTTTGAATATTGTATTTCAGCTTCCCCTAACCTCTTAGCTTTTGGGAAGAATTCCAAAAATTCCAGTTGAGGAGGAATGCATGGGACCTGCAGCAGAACATTGCTACTTCTTGGAATCTTCCAATGTTAATGGACCCATCAGATAAAGAAATCCTTCTGGCCACCTGAATCCCAAAGCATTTCTCCCTTTGCTTTGGATGTAGAGCCTTAGAGAAGAACTATTAAATTTAAGTAATGACCCTAGTCAAAAGCAAGTCTACAATCAGACAACCAACCAAAGGTGGAAAATAGATGATATGATGGACCATTCTGTGGCAAGTTCCTGTGAGCCAGTCTATCACCATATTAGGGATTATGCTAGAAGGCCCACCTTTGTTGCTTTCTTCCATCCACAGTGGTAATTTTTTTGCCTCCAGGCTGAGGGAGCTGCAGCAGAGTCAGAATGGGAGGTAAGACACCTCCTCTTGCAGCAGAGATAATTCAAGGTGAGACCCTCCAAGAAACTCAAGGGATCATACTTCAGCCCCCTCCAATATCAAATTAATATCAATGGGAGAAGTGGGCCCACTATTTTGTCTGAATTTGCCTAGCAGAAAGATGACTTCCATTTTCAGCCAGCAACTCCCATTCATTATTTGACAGAATCCAAAGAATTAAGACACCCTAAAAAGACATCCCCAGGAGTGCCAATAAACCATTATTTCAGATATTTTGGTGACCTGAAGCACACTACTCTTTTCTCTTGGATACTCTGAAGTTTCACTTGCACACGGAGGGGCTTTGTCACATAGCAGAATGACTTCATTTATTCTTTTAGTAGGGGATGAATCATCTCCAACAGTCTGGTTACTGAGCCAAGATAATCGGGGCCAAGTTAGCTGTTCCTTGCTCAGATTTGGCAGAATCATGCAACAGTCAGCAGTTTCTCAGTCGCAGAGCTCCTCCACATTTAAACTTGCTTTACGCCCCATCACTGAAAGAGGCAGCTTCTGGGAGATGGGAGAAAGCCCCGCCCACTTTAAAACAAGGTAGTACTGAAAGCTGAGGCAGTGAAGCATACTCCCATTGGTGAGCACCAGTAAAAATCTAGCCCTGCCATATGTCTCTGGGAAAAAGGCCAGTAGCAAGAGAGGCAGGCCTGTAAGTATCTCACCCAACTACCAACAACTCAAGGTGGTTTGCAAATCAGCTAAAACCAGCTTGTGCCAATAGCTCAGATCCCAAGGCCTGCTTGAGTAGAGTGACTGGGAACAATGTGCTGAAGAGATGCCGTGCACACACTCTTCTCTTGTGGGGTCACTGCCCAGAGTCAGAGCCAGCCTTATGCACTCAGCTGCAACATGGCAGGTTCTGATGGGACTCTGGAAGCTTCTGTTTGAGCAAATGACCTTGGTGGTGCTCAGGGACCCTGGGCACCCTTGTGAAAAGAAAGAAAAAGCTTTGTGTGAAGAGAGTTCCACGTGCTACCGGGAGATGGAAATCCCTATGCAGGACCTTGTACCTGCCTTGGAGGCCAATGGTTGCTGGAGTTTCTGGACTGGAGCTAGAGGAGTAAACATTAGGGGAGTGCTAATGTTTTTATTTACATACTACATGTAGTGTGCTAAAGATAGGGCTGAGTGTACAAGCTACAAGTCTGCAAGAGCACAAGAAAAGATGCAGAACCATGGCTAGGAGTTCTCAGTGGGCCAAGAATTGTCGTCGTTACGGTCCATCAAGTCAACCCTGGCTCCTGGTGACTGCAGGAACAAGTCCCTATGGATTTTTTGGCAACTTTTTCAGAAGTGGCTTTGCTAGTTCTAGAAATGGCCCAAAGCCACCCAGCTGGCTTCATGCCCAAGGCAAGACTAGAAGTTATGGTCTCCTGGCTTCTAATTCAGCACCTTAACCACTAGGTCCTGGATGAAGAGATCCTCGGTCTGGGGTGGAGGTGGGGCTGGGGGTGTGTTCCCTGCATTGTTCATGATTCATTCTCCACCATTCACATCATCAGATTAAATAAATACACTTGGCCTGTTTCTTAATCAGCTCTGCAGCACAAAATCACTAAACTTTCTCTACTAATAGCCCATCCAAGATCTTATGTATTTGCTAAGAGTTATAAGACAACCTTTTGGATAACTCTAGGTGTTGAAGATCAGAATCACAAAGCATAATAAAACATGACAACATCAGCAGTAATAATAAAAACAATAAGGAAGTCTCATTAAATAATGCCATATACATAATGGCACCAATAAACATCTTATCTCTATGAGAGACCAAGGTGAACAGATAAACTTTTAGGGCAAGAGCAGGCAATCTGAAGCCCTGGGGTCACATGTGAGCCCCCAAGCCTTTTCTGTATTTTTTAGACACCCCCCTTCCAAACCACAATTGCTGAATTGGCAGTAAGGTTCTCACCACTTTGAGGTAGACATATGCAAAAGCTGTGATGCAAGCCATAAAGAGAATCACCCTGAGATTCTTCCCAAATCCAGAAAAAATTCTGGCCTCACTCATGCATGGGACACCACCCAGTCTGCTCTGCATTGCTGCCCCACCCTCAGCTGCTACGCAATTTCAATGCATGGGAATTGTAGTCCAGGCCACCAGGAGCTGCTGCCCTTGCATGACTGGCCTTAGCAACTGGAGTAAAGCTGCTACAGCAGGAGGAGACACCTAAGAAGGCCCCCCCAGGTTATTTTTAAGGACAGGTTATTTTTCTGGATGGAGGTAGGAAATAATAGTTCAATGAACAAATCCTTAGAGATAAATATCCTTTCTTAACAATCATGCAAGTGAACTGCACTTCCCCCTTCCCAGCCACCGCAGCTTTGCAACAGCTGGTTGGACAGGACACCGTGGGATCAATTAGCAGAAAAAATACACACGTGCACCCCTTGCAAATACCAAAGTCGATTATGATTTCACTTAGAGCTTGTGGACGTAGCTTGCACTTTAACTTTTTGGAGTTTCTTTTCAGCACCATTTTGGAGAGAGAGAATCCTAGCTTTGACTTCTTGTTGTAATTATACCATTGATGATTTACAAGTAGTCCGAAGAATAGATCTTAAGAGCTGCTTCTGGATTAACTGCTTCAAGTAACCTAGCTACTTAGGAAATCCTACCTCTAGGCCTGGCCTACAATCAGGAACAAGTGAGAATCTCAACACTACCAGTCTCTTCAGGCAACTGGTTTTCCTGCAATTAAGGCAAGCTCCTCCTGAATGAACATCCCAGATGAGACACAAGCACCAGGATGAAGCCCCAGGCAGCAGCTCAACATCGGTGAATGCAGAAAGGAGACTGTGAAACTTCTGCTGCAGAAATCAGGTTGCCAGAGTTTGAAAACCTAATTAAACAATCAGGTCTGGTGTATGTGAAAACGACGCATCTGTCGTGGAAATTGTATTGGAGGCTGCAAGAACTAGGAGACTCG